CAGACCTGCGTTGTGCTGGAATAAATGCGAGTTTTTACTATATGTAACAAGGCGTTTTATAATGGTTTTTAACGCTTTAGGGTCAGGAGTATACATTAGTGTTTCTGACTCTTTAGTGTTCCTTTAAGGAATTTGATGACAAACAATTTGCTATCCCCATGTCTATCTGTATGTGGCAGGTAATCAGGACATAAGAAGGTAGAATAGGGCAGAGTTTGTAGTGCTGGCACAAGTCTCTGTCCATTATGCCAAGAAAATTTGCAACAATCAACCAGATTCACATTGGTGATAACTTGCTTTACTGCCCAGAGTCCTTGTGACAAGACCATTCCTAAGGTCTAAGCATCTATCCTCTTATTTTATCCCCATTAAATAGAAGGCTGTGTTTTGAAATATGGTCTGGTAGCTATAGTTTTAGATATCATAAAGTTGTGGGTTGCTCTATCAGTTGCCGCAAGGCTATACAGAATTTATACTTCTCTATGGTGTTTTCAGTCCGTTACTGTAGGAACAGCAGGACATAAAGCTCTGTGATACATGAAGTCACAGCACAAAATAGAATTTATCTACAGCAACAATTACTCGAAGAACAGGCAAGTCCACACGTAATAGTCTGGGCATTTCTTTAAGGAGAAAAACACAGACATTACTCCCACTTTAAGATTGTGTATTTCTGTTTGTCAGAAATAAACCATACATCGTTTGCCTTCCAGTTTATCTTTTTATTTATCGCAATTATTTTTATTTTTTTTATTTACAACCCTTGTAAACTTATATATTTTTTTCCTTTCAAGAAATATCTCCCTTTGTTCCAGTGTCCAATCATTTTCTTGTATTCCAGCTGAATAGGTTTATTGTGCCACTTCATAAATGTATTCATAGCAGTGGTTATGAATTTGTGATGTATGTTTTAATATATTGTAAATAAACATACAAATTAATGTACAACCACACCGACAAAACAGATAAAAATGTTTTTAAGAATTTCTAAATGTTAAGAAGCCATTTAAGTAGAATGGTTGAAAACTGACTTTTCAGCATTTTATTAAATAATGAAGGTAAACCGTATTATAGAGTTGACTGTTTTGACTATTTCAAATTCTGTCCGTGCAGAAAAAGGAAGATCGGGTAGAGGTGGCATGTATTAAGTCGGGATGAGAGGCTGTATGTCTATGGAGTATTCTGTCTGATATCTGGGAATCCTTTAAATAATTGTTGAGTGTTTTCCCCTGGATGACCTTGGGAACGGTTTACCTGCCTGTTGTTGCAATTGTCTGGTCTCTGACCTGTCTGCCTCACCAAAGATTCTGAACCTGCTGGCTCTCAGGTTTCCAGAAGTTTGTTTAAGCTTTTGTTAGAATTTGTACATGGTCCTTACAGCTTCTTTGTCTTGTTCTCAAGGAATTATGACAACCTCCCTTGAAAAAGTATGCATTCAAGTGACCTGAATTGCTTGAAAATCATGTTCTCTCTCGATGTTTTCTCAGCGTGGTGTTTGTCTGACCTGTTTACCCTTTTATCTTTTTCTTACACTAGTTCAATGCACCCTGTGTTTGTTTTGTAACTCATGAAACCATTGCCCAAAGCCTGAACACAGCAAAAAGACACTTCACAATAGTGGTGTGTATGCAGTCTTATCGACAGTAGTTCAAACAATGGGGAGAAAAACTACACTCCAAAGACTGATTCCCTTTAAAAGCATCTATTCATTAAAACAATCCACAAGCGAACACTGTTGAATGGTGATGAAGCAGTGCAGTGCTCAGCAAATAAGAGCCTTGAATAAGAAAAATGTAGAGTCTTAAAGTATTTTGTATGTAGGAAGCACTTTTCCAAGAATAATTGGATCTGGGTCTCCTGTTAAAGGCACCTCAAATTAGCCTTCATTTATTTAAGTAACATCAAGGGGGATCTGTTTGTTAATTGTATTTTTGATATTATGTCGACTTATCCCCAATAGTTAAATGAGTTTGTAAGAACTGAAAATGTAAGTGTAGAACTCGGTACAGCAGTATTTACCTCTATACTGGAACTGGGTGCCCCCATCTTGGCTCCTTGACAGTCCTTTTAAGAAGCTCTTGTTTTTTTCTGCCATTTCACAAAAATAACGCTTGTTCTTTTGCCACGGTCAGCATAGAGAATTCCCGACCACTTGAATCAAATATCTTCTCGCAGGCGGAGATAACTAATGGCCTGGAACATAGTAAAGGAGAGATGGAGAAATATTGTGGGATATTTATTAAATTGTCATGATACAAAGTTCTAAAAGTACAGCAAGAAATCTCCTCCCATGCAAGGTGACTGAACTGAATTCTAATTTAAGTTCCTAAGTCTTTAATCCACATTTAAAAGAAAATTGAGCATCGCACGAAAGAAGGTAACAGACGTTGTAGGTAAATTTCAGCATTTTTTTCGCCTGCATCATTTCTAGAGAAATAAAGGCTTCTCTTTTAACACTCTGAATTGGATGGAAAATAAAAGGTGCATGTTAATACATTTAATAGGCATTTATTGTAAAGGTTGCACAGTCATTGTATTTTATGCCAAGATATGATATGGAGTCTGTCTAGTCTATATGCAAGATACGTTTTCTTGTTAATTCCTTCCCCAAGAAGAGTTCAAAAGGCTTTAGCAGTGAATTTCGTAAGTTGCCTTATAGTAACACTAAAGCAGTACGATTTCAAACTTGTATTTGTTTATATAGGATTCCTGCACCCCTCCTTCTGTGTGCTCTAAAGATAATTGAAGTATTTTATGCAACTTTTTCCAGTGCCAAGGCTCCCTCTGCGCTGCGTACCTCTCCGTCTTCCAGGATGTCGTGGAGGAGGCATGGCTTCATCCAGAGTAGCCCAATCCTCATAAAGGAGCATTGGGACCTGATACGGATGCACAGCAAATCAATGTTTTTCTATAGGCTTCTGCGTGACATGACCAAGTTTTACTCAGTGGGGCACCTCTAGTGGCTTTCAGTATAACAGTCACCAGAGGTGGACGTAACCCTGCATTGTAAACATTGCAGTTTCTGAAATAATAAAACGTTATTGGTCCTTTAACTGTATAATTAGAAATACTTATTATCATTGCTCTCTAGACTACATTGGTAGTTTTCAATTTTGAGACTTCTTATGATCTGCAAAGAGAACATTTGGTCCTTTAGCTTCAACATTTTTGGTGTTAGTCAATTTACTTTGGTAGGGAAGGCTAATGGTGGAGTCTCTATTGTTGTTAAGCTGCTTAAAAACAGGATGGGGGAGGTGAAGAGGGGGGAGGAGGGTGGTGGCAGGGGGTAGGGGCAGAAAGACCCATATTTTATTCTGCTCTTTTGAAAATGGTTTGACAACAATTGTGAGGGCTGCATTTATAGGTTCCTGGCATCATAACCTCCATAATAAACTGTACGGGTTATGGTGCGTGACGTGTCCATATAAGCAGTGTGTGTGTGATAGTAATAACTACAACTACGGAGAGGGGTAGGATCCTCCAGTGATTAAAATGGAAGCAGCAGCATTTCTTATAAACAACGGAACCATTTCAAAAATGTTAAGAACATAGACAATTGTTTATACCCATGTGGTTTTAGTTTTTTAGTTTAGTTTTTTTATATTGTAGCCGCTGCTTTAAAAATAGAAATCTTTAGACCTTCGCTTTCATGTTCTCTCCTACTGTGGTACTTGTCTGATCGTATCGGGATGGTTTTCAAATGCAATAATTAAAGCTTTACTGTGGATATACACCAGCTGTCCACAGCAAACAGACACTTGCGTCACACTGTACTATGTACAGTCTTTTAAGTCTTGCTGGTGGCAGCGTTCTTTGCTGTCTCGACTATTAATTGGTTCTCAGATGCATGTTATGCTATATCGATACCAAAGGCTACGCTACTCCCAATTAAAGTTCTGCTTTCTTAAGCTACTCCTCAGCGTACTCTTATAGAAGTCGAGATCTGACTTCTGCAAATCCGTGAAAAACAACTGAATTTACTGAATCTGGAAAAAATGTCTGTGTTTTAGAGGCAAAGGTTGAAACGTTTCAGTTTTCATAGTTTGTCACAAATGCATTTAATAGATGCTTAAAACCCTGTGTTGATGCCAGTAAAGGTGCAATTAACAAAGTGGGTGGAAGGAAAAAAAACCTCTAAATCATAAAAATATTTGATTTCTGAAAGTGTTCTAGAAGTGTTGCAAAGTTATTAGATGCCATAATTACCCATGGGATGTGCTGCCTGGTACCATTGGTTTCCATGGTGATTGTACTTTATCAATAATAAAATATAACATTAACAACAGGAAGAAAGACGTAGAAAGTCTCTGTGTCTAGCTTAAGACCACTAGTGAGCAATAGATAACAGCAAGGCACATGCTTTCCCTTTATCGCCAGCCTTGATTCCTGCCCTCCAATTTGTATGGAGCTGGGAAGAACATGTGCCCACCATCGCCACAGGTACATGAGCAAAATAAGGGTAGCACTCACAGGGAAAAAATCTCTCTCTCTCTCTCTCTCTCTCTCTCTCGATATAGATATCTCTCTCTCTCGATATAGATATCTCTCTCCCTCTAGATATATATATATATATATATTGAGGACAGTGTATTTGGGGGAGATTTTCCATCAATACACACGTGCTAGATCATAGGAATTCAGAATCCATAACTCGAATTGTGAATTACACGGAGGATGAGCTTGATGGTATCCACACCAGTGAAGCTGATCTGTGTGCTATATTTTTCCTGTGAGCAAAAACTTTGCAAAAGAAAGGGACAATGTAAACAAAAACATCAGAATTGCCCAAAGTGCATGTGTACCCCTATGAATTCTCACAATTAAGGCTCAAACATTGGAAGCATATGGCACTGGGCAAGTAAAGAAACCTAAACTGTATGTGTTTAATGTTATTTACTTGCAAACCTAAATACTGAGCAATATGATACAATGATATGGAATGCTTGCTGCCTGTGTTCTTATACGGCCATATTAACTAAACCAAATTTTGTGCAGTTTACAGTTACAGCAGTAGAGCTCTTCGACAGGTACAATCATTTCTCTTTTTGTCTTATTCGGGAAGCATTGCACATTTCTGATAGAACATGCTAATGTCGGTTTCCCTGTCGATCCATCAATATCAGATATCACTAGCAAATTAAGGACAGAAGAACAGACACATCCATCTATTTTTGCTGATAATAAAGTCAAATTATTCAACCCAGAAGTACATTTTAGGTTTTTGTTTTGGCCAGTTTTTAAATGTCTACTAGAATACCAATGATGATCCTTTACAGTCCACTGCTTAGTGGGATTAAAATGATTAAATCCTCCGTGGATTTTCCCTTTTAAAAAGAGAAAACTGTGATCTTTCATTGCGATCATTAAAAATAAGATTTCATGTATCATATAGCCCTCTTTGTGTAATATTCTTTTTAACACACACATATAACTTAATAATTTTCCGTGCATCTCCTGATTTAACCTTACTTTACCTATAAGTCTTTTTTGGAAAGCTGCCTAGCGTGCATTTCTGAGATGTCAAGATTCCTGAATGAACATTATCTCTCTAGTACCGGCATGGTTTGGGGTTATATAAGAAGTGCTCCTGTAAGAAAGGGATTTAAAAATGGATGTCCTCTTGCAGAAGCAGTAAGCCATGATATACACTAAATGGGCATTACATGTTTATACAGGCAGAGGCTATAATAAATGGAAAAAAACAATGAATGTATTCCTCCTTTTTTTTTCTTTTCTTTTAGTAATAGGTTAATTAGTGTTATAATTGATACATATAATTGTAATATATTTTTATATTACTTTTAAAAACTCAAACAACCATTTGAAATTTTATATTTTTATATATATATATTACTTTACATTTCGGTTTTGCTATAACTATATTGTTCAGTTTTAAAGCGGCACTGTAACGCGGAACTTGCCTTTCTCCCATTGTTTCCTCTTCCTTGTCTCAGGATCTGTTCTTCTTTTGTTATTTATATCTTGTTTTCTTTAAAACTACTACTAGGGACTACTTTGTCTTATGTATTTTTCCTATGCTTTAATTTCTCTGACTCAGGGAGGAGCTTAAGTCCTATCCAGAAAGGTAAGTTTGGCCTGACAGAGCCGCTTTCAGTGCTGAATAGCTGATGTTGTATTCATTGTTATTTTGCATGTGGTTGTTAAAAAAACAAAAAACAAAAAAAACAGCGCTGCGATAATTAAGTATTGTTTCTCTCATACTACATGGCTAAACAGTCAAAAACGTATACTGTATTGCGATATTTGCATTGTTCCAATATAATCAAAGTTATGCTATTTGTTTTTTTTTTGTAGATTCAATCATTCAATGAGGAAATCCAAGGTATTACTACAGCCGGTTTTTCAGCCTTGGTATTTGATGGTACGGTTGGTGCACCAATGTGTCCCAGAACCTCAAGTAACTCGTACACCTTTACTAAAGAAAACGAAAAAAACGTAGACGCTTTACGCAAATGGGCAATTAATCATATTGACCTTCCAAGATCGAGAGTAAAACTGTCAGACGTGCAGCCTCTACAGTATTTTGATTTGATCTGTCATCTTGTTGCAAAGGCAGAGGTTGATAAAACATCTTATCTCCTAAAAGTAAGATGATGCATCTAATTATTGCACCTATTCTCTTGTGCTTTTCACCTTTCACTGTGTGATCAAGTCTCCATTAGTCCCTATGTCTACAATAAAGAGATACTATAGGCATCAAACAACGTAAGCTTATTGTAAGGGATATAGATCATGCCCCTGCAGTCTCGGTGCTCAATTCTCTGTCATTTAGCAGTTAAATCACTGTTTATACAGCCCTTGTCACACATTCCCTGGCTGTTACCTGCACAGAATTCATGGAAAAAGTTTTCATTTTAAACCTGATGTTAACTTGCTTTATAAGTTTTTATCTCCTACTCTTTAAATTGAACTTTAATCACACACGACAAGTTATTTAACTCCTAAATTACAGAGAATTGAGCACTTAGACTGCAGGGCATGATCTATAGAAACAAGTGCTGCATCAAGCTAAAGTTGTTTTGGTGCCTATAGTGTTCCTTTAACTTTACACGAAGGATGGTGTGTACACTTTATTGATGCGCACTCGTAGTTTTATTCTCAGAGTTTTCCAAATGTACCAGTTGTCTCTGCAATTATCTAACAAGCATAACCTTTGCAAACACCCTTCTCCATGGTCTTATTGCGCTAAAAAATCTGCATCAACCGTAGTGACCTCATTAAATTAAATAAAATACCACAGAGGCTTAATATTTGTAATTCAAACTAAGAGGCTAGTCTCCTGTGCATTAAAAAAAAAAAGGAAAAAGCCAATGAACTTGTAATCTCTTTATGAAGTAAACAAGTACGATTTAATTTGGATTATTATGTAAAGTATACTTACAATTCTGTCTGATCTTTTATTTGTTTATTGGTAATGTTGACTTGAGTGTGTAAATGCCATTGTTTGCGTGCATGTGTAATGTGAATTAATCTGCTCAAACTGAAGGCTACATAAGAAAATAAAAATTAAAGGACCACTACAGTGCCCTGAGGGTGCCCCCACCCTCAGGGTCCCCCTCCCGCAGGGCTGGATGGCGAGGAAAGGGTTAAATCTTATTTTTTTTTCCAGTGCCGGGCGGGGAGCTCTTCTCCTCCTCTTCGGCTGAACTTCGCATGCACGGCAAGAGCTGCGCGCGCATTCAGCCTGTCTCATAGGAAAGCATTCATAATGCTTTCCTATGAACGCTGGCATCATCTCACTGTGATTTTCACAGTGAGAAGCACGCAAGCGCCTCTAGCGGCTGTCAATGAGACAGCCACTAGAGGCTTTAGAGGCTGGATTAACCCATTTATAAACATAGCAGGTTCTCTGAAACTAGGTTTATAAAAAAAAAAAAAAAAAGGTTAATCCTAGAGGGACCTGGCACCCAGACCACTTCATTAAGCTTAAGTGGTCTGGGTGCCTAGAGTGGTCCTTTAACAGGAGACAAGAGTAACAACAACAAAGACTAAAAGTTCCTTGCAGTATTCATCGTACCTAGTTATTGCAAAATGTATATAGAAATGTTAGAATGCCTCCATACTGGACTTTAATAACATAGGAGCCAGTTGTGTGAAACATTTTCTTGTTTTTATAAATATTTTGCAGTAATTTATTGCACTTGAGGTTTAATTTAATACACCTTTTATTTTGTTTTAATAGAATGTGTAATATAAGGTTATTCAAAAGTATATGTCCCATTCTTCTTGATCAAAATTCTCCAAACAATATTCGTAATATTAGTAGTAAGGCAAGCTGGTTTATTTACTAAATCTAAAATTGTGCTGGTTTGAACATTTTAGGTCAAACTATTGGAATTTTACTGACACTGTGACATGTTTCTTGAAAGCCAATGCATGTTGAAGGACCCACTCCAGCATTAGAAATAATTACATGTATTTGTAACTCTGGACTGTTGCAAAGATCATTTAGATTACGAGTAATCACACTGCACCAATACAATGATTCCCATAGAGTGATAATGAATCCAATGCTTTCTGTGAGAAGCCCTTACTTCCACTTTGAGCCAAGGCTGATGTGCTTTATGTCTTTCGAATGTTGCTTTAAAGATATGATTTATCGGTGCCAACTTCTCAGGTTTTTTTTTTTGCAGATGTAATTGAATCAAAAATAAAAGGTGAGTAGTATTATTTATCTTTAAATATATACATTTTACTTTATTTGGCAGGTGTGGGATGGTACCAAATGTGTTTCCCCTACATGGAAAATTTGTGTAGAAGACGAGGCGCTGATAGGGGAAAGAAGTCTTATCCACAAACTGCGCAATCTCACAGTAGATGTTTTGGTTTATGATAATCACGTGGAATCTGCAAAATTTCTGAAGGTAATTAACCAAACTGTAAATGTACACTAATGCATTTGGATGAAAAAAAATGTAATTGTGTAAAATTATTGTATGTAATAGCATTGTAGACAGTAGCATATTTATGGTCAAACATTTAAATCATTTTAAGACAGTCATATATGTAGATTAATATAATAATCTAAGCTCTTGTAAGTTCAGAAGGAATCACGATGTGTCCCACAGTGAAAATCTCTAGGTATGGGGTTCTTAGAAATGTAAGACACAATTTCACTGTGTCAGATGATATGAAAAGGAAGTTAATTTCATGAAAACCTTTTTTTTTTTTTCTCTCTCTTTCATAGGGTACTTATCAGAGTATAGTTTTCTTAATTGAAATATAGAGAAAAAAAAGCCACGTCTTTAAAAAGAAAAGTAATTCAAATAGCTGCTTTTAAAGGCTTGATATGTAATCACTTACCACAATTCTGACAGTTCATCTTTAAATTGCCAATTTGTAAGACACATCTATTTAGTTTAAGAATTGTAAATTGCATTTTTTTCTGAATATTTACATTGAATGATAAGTTTCAAGAAATTTTGACAATTATGGATTTTATAATGTATTTAATTCACATTTTGTAAAAAAAAATAATAATCTTTTATGTTAATTTGATTGGCATACTTGTTTATTTGTCCTGAATACAAAATAAGATTTATATAAGATTATTGACTAACTTCACATAGTTATGTTTATTCCCACACACTGAAATTCAGTGCTACAATGTAAGGCCAAATTGCAGAGACACTGCTAGATAGTTTATTTTCCTGTTGCAGCCAGCACCATTGCTGGCATTGGTAGAACGTTATGCACAGTTATGCAATCTCAAGACCAAAACCGTTGGTAGAATAGTCCAAATTTAATGCATTAAGTGTTTTACACAATTCGAGCCAAAGGTGGACTCAAATGGTGTAACATTCACTGGCATTTGACACTTTTACAGTGGAAATTCTTTTCCTGGACAGATATATCAATCTCACTTCAAAATCTAGCAGTCTGATAGATGCTAGTGTCAACAATGTAGCACAAAAAAGCCACTCAACTCAATCACAGGCTGATTGTGCAATTTACGCTCAATATGTTGTTGAACTTTAAGGGGACACTATAGTCAATCAGACCACTTCATCTCATTGAAGTGGTCTGGGTGCAGTGTCCCAGTCCTGGTTAGTCCTGCAATGTAAATCACTGCAATAATTACATTGCAGGTCCAAGACTGCCTCTAGCGTTTGTGAGACGGCCAGTAGAGTTACTTCCTGCTTGCTAACCAACTTTAGGTTGCCTAACTGACGCTGCACGTCCTCACACTCTGCATAAGGACATCCAGTGCCCATAGAATCTCCATAGGAAAGCATGAGGCAATGTTAGCCCTCTCCATCCCCCCCCCCCTCCTTCAGAGGAGGGGAAGCGTGATCGGCGCTGTAAGCGGGCAAGTTACTAACGTTTTTTAGTACCTGCCAGAGGAGGGGACCAGAGGGCTCATTAGAGTTAGGAATACAGATTTGCATCTGCATACTGCTCTGGTGTATACCAGTAGAACTGTCTGTCCCTTCTTCTGAAACTTGATTTATGGAAATTGTCACACTGAACTTTACCAAAAGGGTTTACAGTAAAAATAAAAAAATACTACTGGATGAACAATCCTTTCAAAAAACTGGAGGTTACTCTAAGGGAAGAACTATAAAAGGGCATGAACTGTGGCCTGTTAAAGGGGCACCATAGGCATCAGCTTAACCCCTTAAGGACCAAACTTCTGGAATCAAAAGGAATCATGACATGTCTCACATGTCATGTGTCCTTAAGTGGTTAAAGTAGTGCTTTTGGGGGCCATAGCCTGCCCTTCAGCCTCATCGCTGTAAACTATGCTTTTCTGAAAAAAATGCTTTGTTTACACAGCTCCCTAAGGCATCCTCTGGTCTAGTGGCTGTCACTGTGATAGTTCCTAGAGAGACTTCCCGAGTTCTGTTCAGCAAAGTTTGCAGGACCTACTTTCAGGGTCCATGGAGATGCTGAATGCACCTTTTAGAGATGAATTCACTCAATGTATCTCTACGAGGAGAGGTTGATTGGTGAAGCAGGCGATTTGCAACTCGTGTGGAGAAGCATTGAATGAACTGAGATGAGTCATCAAGCCAATGATGATCTCAGCCAGGAAGGTGTGACAGCCGCATGGCCAGTGCGACAGGAGAGTAAAAGTAAGTTAATCTCTAATTTTAGTTCACACAGAGGGCCTAATAATCAAACTCATTATTAGGACACTAAAACATTAGGAATGCATGTTTGTACTCCTCACGCTGTAGTGTTCCTTTAATACATTATGTAAAGTAAACTTTTTGTGAAGCATGTTTTCATATGTTAATGTCAGGGGCCACTGCAGTGTTCTAAATGTTTTTTACCTTATTCCCGCAGTTTTAGAACTACCATTTCTCTCATATTATTTAAGCAGTGTTTATATCTTCAGATTGTTTCAGTTTGAAACATTTTCTAATATTACAAGGATACCAACCTGGCTGCATTGTATCAACTCCGAAATTTGGTGTATTGCTCCTAATCAGTAACTGCTCATTATTCCCTGCTCATCACCGTTATTAATTGTAGGGTTGGAATGATCTAACCATCCCCATAGAGAAACATTTTATAACCTAATCTGCCTTTTGAAATAATGTTTAATACTATTAGACAGTAGCATTTTTCTGTTCATTTAAAGTCAGTGTCATGTAGTTCTTCATGTCCATAAATCATTTTAAGATGCATGTAGATTAATATAATATTGTCTATATTGACTTGGGCCATGAGATTAGTGTGCTAGAAGTTAATAGGCCAAGATTCACTTGTCCTAATATGTTAAATGTCATTTTTATTTATGCCACGTTTTTTTTTTTTTTTTTTATACAAAAACTTTTGAATCGTTTTATTTTCATTTGTAAATATATTGTCTATGGCAGTGATGGCGAACCTTTTTGAGCCCGAGTGCCCAAACCGTAATACATGCCAATTTTTTCCCCTCAAAGTGCCAAAACGGCATTTAAACCGGAATACTGAGGTTTAAGTTTAGAAAAAACAACTCATACAGTTGTGTGTGTGTGCTCAGCAGTCTGTCTGTATGTGTATTTAGCAGTCTGTATGTGTATTTAGCAGTCTGTCTGTGTATTTAGCAGTCTGTCTGTGTACTTAGCAGTCTGTCTGTGTACTTAGCAGTCTGTCTGTGTACTTAGCAGTCTGTCTGTATTTAGCAGACTGCTGAGTACACAGTCTGCTGAATACACACACAGACTGCTAAATACACACACACACAGACAGACTGCTACACACACACAGACTGCTACACACACACAGACTGCTACACACAGACAGACTGCTACACACAGACAGACTGCTACACACACACAGACTGCTACACACACACAGACTGCTACACACAGACAGACTGCTACACACAGACAGACTGCTACACACAGACAGACTGCTACACACAGACAGACTGCTACACACAGACAGACTGCTACACACAGACAGACTGCTACACACAGACAGACTGCTACACACACACAGACTGCTACACACACACAGACTGCTACACACAGACAGACTGCTACACACAGACAGACTGCTACACACACACAGACTGCTACACACACACAGACTGCTACACACACACAGACTGCTACACACACACAGACTGCTACACACACACAGACTGCTACACACACACAGACTGCTACACACACACAGACTGCTACACACACACAGACTGCTACACACACACACAGACTGCTACACACACCAGACTGCTACACGCACAATTTTGCTACACACACACAGACTGCTACACACACACAGACTGCTACACACCACACAGACTGCTTACACACACAGACTGCTACACACACGCACACGGCTACACACACACACACAGCTACACACACACACACGGCTACACACACACTGCTACACACACACACACAGACTGCTACACACACACACAGACCAGACTGCTACACACACACACACAGACAGACTGCTACACACACACACACAGACAGACTGCTACACACACACACACACACAGACAGACTGCTACACACACACACACACACAGACAGACTGCTACACACACACACACAGACAGACTGCTACACACACAGACAGACTGCTGAGTGTACACACACAGACAGACTGCTGAGTGTACACACACAGACTGACTGCTGAGTGTACACACACAGACTGACTGCTGAGTGTACACACACAGACTGACTGCTGAGTGTACACACACAGACTGACTGCTGAGTGTACACACACAGACTGACTGCTGAGTGTACACACACAGACTGACTGCTGAGTGTACACACACAGACAGACTGCTGAGTGTACACACACAGACAGACTGCTGAGTGTACACACACAGACAGACTGCTGAGTGTACACACACAGACAGACTGCTGAGTGTACACACACAGACTGCTGAGTGTACACACACAGACTGCTGAGTGTACACACACAGACTGCTGAGTGTACACACACAGACTGACTGCTGAGTGTACACACACAGACTGACTGCTGAGTGTACACACACAGACTGACTGCTGAGTGTACACACACAGACTGACTGCTGAGTGTACACACACAGACAGACTGCTGAGTGTACACACACAGACAGACTGCTGAGTGTACACACACAGACAGACTGCTGAGTGTACACA